GCAGGGGCAATGCTGACCGTCCGGCTGGCCCTCTAGACCCCTTCGACGTCCCCTTCGCCACGCGCCTCCCCGGGCCCTGAAAGAGCGGCGGTGGCTGCCCAGAGGGGCGCGGCTACACCTTCCTTCGGCCCGGAAAGACCTTCCCGGCCGCACCGACCCGACCCGTCCTTCATGCTGCAGTGCTGCAACGTTTCCGCCACCGAGAGGGAGAAACGGCCGCGATCTCAAACAAAACACAAGAATTGGTGTGTGACTCATCTGCTTGGATACCTCCAGTCCCCAAACTGTCTTCCAGGAGTTTTCTTGGCCGAAGCTGCCCGATGTTTGAGCCTTTTCTTCCCAAGGAAGATGGACTGAGGGGACGTTTTGTGATCAGAGCGCTGTTGTGCTTTAAAGGAGGTGATGGGGTTTGCGCTGGCTTGTCTTCCCACCCAAGTGAAGAGCTGCTAATGTTCATTGGTTATGCTTAGACAATGTGCAGTTTGTTTTAATTTAAAATTTGGTGGGGGGATAGGGGTATAGGCTTGTGAAGAGCATTCCGAGTCCGAAGGAACACCTCATTGTCCCTGGTAGGAAAGACAAACTTAGTCTGTCCTCGATGCCGTCAGCCTTGGCCATCTTCACTTGCCGCCCAAACTCGCACCCGTTTCAGGAGCGTCATGTCTACCTGGACGAGCCCATCAAAATCGGCCGCTCAGTGGCACGTTGTCGACCGGCACAGAATAATGCCACCTTTGATTGCAAAGTGCTGTCAAGGAACCATGCTCTCGTCTGGTTTGATCACAAGACGGGCAAGGTAATGTCACCACATTAACAATCTTTTTGTTTTCTCCTGTCCTGTCTGAGAAGCCTAATGTATGCAGGATCCCAGGGTTTGCACCCAGAGGACACTTCCAGCAAGGCCAGGGATCAACTTTTTCTGTGCCTAATTCTAGTGGAAATTTAATTGAGTTGGTTGAATGGAAAACGGAGACAGTATTGTAATTAAATGCCTCAGTAGGATGATGGCATCCTGATAACTTTGTCATTCCCAATGAAATCCCAAACCCTAATTCATTTCGGAAAACTAGATAGTGAAACTTGGCATCTTGCTTTCTGTCTTTTTAGAAAGGTGAATCTGCAGTTCAGTGCTTGATTAAGCAAGTAGCAAGCAGTTCCCAAAGCAATTCGGGGAATCTGGCCAGTATTACACTGGGGCTCTAGTGCCTGGTGGTGAAATGTAGTTAACGCGTAGCTTTTAGTTGAGTTCATTCGAGGTTTTCTAGTAATGATAATTCCTCCTGTAAAGCTAATGTTTTTGAAAGGTTTGATACACATTTACCCTTGCAGGAATAGTTTGCAATAATCACAAGTAATAATTTAGTGTGGATAACTGTAACTTTATATTTTCAAGTTTCATTTACAAATTAGGTGAGCATACAGCTATTGCTTTTGAAAATCACTTTTTGTTGTTCCCTGCATCACTTATTAAATAGTGCCTACTTACAGGGTGATTTTCAGATATTAGTGTTACAAATTTTCTGAAATTATATCCAGTTCTGTCAGTTATAACATTACTTAAATATAGGATTATTTTTGTGCTTTTTCATTTTCATTGTAGCCATTTTAGCATTTTTATGTTGGCACTCTAATTTTCTACACGTTTTTACATTTTAGGAAATCAAAAGTAAGATCCTTTTGGTTTTTAAAGTGTTATGTGTGTGTAAAGTGTACCAAAGAACTAATCTTTGTCTATAAACCTAGGGTTTTAATTAAACTACTGAGTCACTTCCAACTTTAAGTTATATAAGATTAATAGAAATAGCTTAGGTTTCATCTCCTGACTTTTTGCCCCCTCCACGTTAAATGATTAAGTTTTTCTTAAAGAGTTTTAAGAATAGTATTCTATTTTTATTTATTTATTTATTTTTAAGAATAGTGTTTTAAAATGAAAGAAACCTGAACCTCAAGAGGAAGAGAGAAAGCAATACTTCTGTAGCTACTGAATTAGGAATTATTATGTAAATCAGCTTTTAAAGAAAGGAGAAAAAATTTCCCAAGTGCTGTGCTTGCATAATACCTGTAACCTACTCTGTGTGTAGGATGAGACCTAAAAAGTATGTTAATTTTTCTCTATAACACCAGATGTTCATTTACCTGTGGAACAGACTTCTTTATCTCCCTGGAAGCTGACTTTTGTGTGTCTCAATATTTCATAGGTCAACTGTAATCCTTTAAAGTGAATATTTGTAGAGCTCATCATTCCACCTGTTAGTTAACTACTGGTGACTTAACTCAAGCAGTTTTTATATTTTTGCCTTTTTACTTCTCTGGGAAACAGGTCACTTAGAGTAGTACATAAGTTCACTTAGGATATAATTGTATAACAGATTTACTTACATAGCTTGCAAATATACTTTCTTTGATTCAACAATTAAAGGAAACTCAGATTTTTTTATTTTAAGAAGTGAGTACATGCATAGTACTTTGCATAGCTGTACTAAAAACCTCACAGGTTTTTTGTTTGTTTGTTTTGAGACAGGTCTCTATGTAGTTCAGGCTGACCTTGAACTCAGTATGTAGTTCAGTCTGGCCTCAAACTCAAGGTAATCCTGATCCTCCTGTTTCAGCCTCCTCAGTGCTGGGATTACAGGTGTCTGCTGCCACGCCTGGCATCCTCACAGGTTATTTTGAAGTGACTAGGAATAGATAATGCTTAGTTATGAATTTAGATGACATGTTAACATTTTTAATTAAATTTTTTATTTAGAAAAATTTACCTTTGTGTTGGGGGTATAACTCAGTGGTAGAGTGCTTGCCTCTTATATACAAGGCCCTGGGTTTGATTCCTAGCCCTGCAAGAAAAGAAGAAAAAAAACACTTACATTTGTAGAGTAAGATTCATTTATTCCTACCATTTTCACTCTTTCCTTCTGCTTTACTAGCTAAAATAACATTTAGAATATGAGTCTATTGCCGGGGATTTAGATCGGTGGTGCTGCTACCTGCCTCGCAAACCAAGGTGCTGAGTTTGATCCCTGGTACAAAAAATAAAATTGAAGAACATGAGGTATTACTTTATGCGTAGGTATAATTATTGATTATTGTTCTAGTCAATCTAGTTAAAACAAATAACCTTTCAGATCTTACATGTAATCGACTTGTTTTAGGAATTGACTATTTGAAGTTTTAGTTTGGACAGACAGGTTTTTTTCTTTGTTTTGGTTTTTGGTTTTTGAGACAGGGTCTCACTATGAACCTGGAACTCACTATGAAGCCCAGGCTGGTCTCGAACTCACAGTGATTCTCCTGCCTCAGTCTCCTGAGTGCTGGGATTATAGGCATGCGCCACCACACCTGGCTTGGACAGACAGGTTTTTACTGAGCATCTACTGTGTGCCAGATGCTAGAATGTACCAATTTGACTAAATATCATTTGTTGCTTTCTATGTGAAATATGTAGGTTGGGGATTGCTACTATAATTGACTCATAATAGAAGAGATCAATTTCTGTACGTAACACAAGAATCCCTTTCTATAAGTACCAGGCAAGTTGTTTGTTTTTTAAACATTTGAAGGCCCCAGTTTTCTCATGTAGGAATCATTATGGTACTGTAGTACTAGTGTGTGTGTTAGGGATCCAACCTAGGGCCTTGAGCATACTAAGCACTTGTGCTATCACTGAGCTATACCCTTCACCCCCTGCCCCACTTTTTTTTGTTCCAGGGATCGAACTCAGGCCCTTGTGCTTGCGAGGCAGTCAGTGGAACCACTGAGCCAAATCCCCGGCCCATCCTCCCCTTTGATTGTTCTGAGGATTGAAATATTTTTGTAAATCACTTAGCACTCTATGCCTGGCTTTTAATTAAGGACTCAGTACTTCGGAAGGATGTTTATAGGGGAAGAGGGAACCATCTAGTTGTTTTGCGATTTGTAATTGTACTGTGGAGTGTTAAGAAGGTAGTGAAGCCAGGGACAGTGGTGCACAGCTGTAATCCCAGCCCTCTGGAGGCTGAGGTAGGAAGATTGCCGTGAGTTCAAGGCCTGCCTGTGCTACATAGTGAGTTCAGGGTTGGCAAGGTAAACCTTGCCTCAAAAAACCCAAAAAAGGGCTGGGTGTGGTGGCACACACCTTTAATCCCAGTACTCGGGAGACTGAGACAGGAGGATTGCTATGAGTTTGAAACCAGCCTGGGCTACATAGTGAGTTCCAGGTCAGTCTCAACTACATAGTGAGACCCTGTCTCAAAAAAACTAAAAACCAAAAACAAAAACAAAACTAATGAAATTGATAAATTTGTTAAAATAGAGGCTGGGGATTTAGCTCAGTGGTTCCACCACCTGCCTCCCAAGTGTAAGGTCAATCTCTGGTACCAAAAAACAATGTTTGTCAAAATAGACATTTTATCTGAGACATGGAAAATTGAAGCAATATTTTTGATTGACTTAGTTTGTGGGTGACTTACATTTTACATTGGCTGTTATGGGAGGTCCATTAAAAACTGGAAGAAATGATGAATATTTGAAGTGTCTTGATTATTCAAGTAATACATGTTGTAGAAAATTTGTAAAATATAAGCAGATGAAAATGTAGGTGACACTTTTTAATGCTGAATTAACAGAATGTCTTACTGTACTTAAATCTGCATGTTGGAGGGTGACAGGTTTGCCACAAAGTAGAATTTACTAATCTTTCCCAAATCATCTTCTCAGGGTTGTAACAGTTGCCCTGTTTGAATGCTGGCTCTGTGTATCATCCTTTCCTCTTTTTTGGAGTCCAAACTCTTCAAATTAGTAGATAATAGAATGCTTATTAATTCTTCAGTTGACTCAAATAGAACTGAGCAAGCAAATCAATTCATATGGAAGTCACACAAAAGGGATCGTGAATGGACTTGTGATTTGGACGACCTTATTTGATTTACAGCTTTAGGAACTGGTTGATGCAGTAGCGTACAACAGTAGACTTCCAGTCTCACTGTAGTTTATTTAGTAATAATAGTTGTCTGTTGCCAGTCTCACTTTTTTTTCTTAAGTTCAATGTATAAATTTGAGCACCTGTTTTACCACGACAGGGAGTGGTGGTAAGGGGGCAGGAACTTGGAAGAAGTGTTTTTTTTTTCTAAGAGTATATTGTATATGTTGGACAAAGAAGTTGGTTACACACCATGAAAGCAGTTAATTGAAATAATGT